ATACATGTAAATTATGACATGTTTCAGGATGGGTTAATATGCATATATGACGTGTCTCACACCCAAGAAGAAGATGCACTGGAATTAGTGCTCAATTCTGGATCTTCTGTGGTAAGCCCTTGTTAAAGTAGCCTGGGTACAAGTAATAGGGGGCTAAAAGATGGCTATTGTCAAATTCAAAATCGATCACCAAAACCATGCATCATAGTTGAGAGGGAACCCATGATATTTTGATCATTTATTCACCTATTCAGGATCCCATCATTTTGCTAGACAAATATATTTTCAAGACAGCCAATGTTATCCATGGGCTTAAGACTATGTTCACACGGGGCCACTCGGTTTGAGGACACCTCGGTTTCAGGACAGTTCCCACTGTTCCCACGGAACCGTCCACATTTCGATACAGATTAAAACTGTTCTTACAGATCCGTTCATGCTTCGAAGTGACTTGTCCTCAAAGTGAACAGTTTGCCAGCCTCAGATGAGGCCAGTTCCAGAGTTCCAGACGTGTGATCGCATGCCTAAACTAGAACGGTTCCGGCCCCGTGGGAACGTAGCCTAAGTTGCTTGAGTATCCCATGAATCCATTGTTTGGGATCCCTGTGCTCCCTTTCCACAGGGATCCCCAAAACCATCAGCAAAGGAAACCTACTTAGCTTATGTTTTATTTTTTAGGGTCAAATTGGTTTCCATGGTGAAAACTATAATAAACTATATTGTATAACCCATATTGAGACGCTTCAATTATGGGATATTGATAAGGTAAGTGGACCTGTGGAAAGCCAGCATTTTTTTTACAATTAAGAAAAAGGTTTTTTTTTTGGGGGGGGGGAAGCAAATTCCAATTCACGACTTTCCATACGTGGTTCAGTGACCATGAACAAAGCATTGTACCACAACTTCAAGCAACATAGAGCTCAGATCTTTTTTTTGTGCTCACTGCACCTTGACGCCTCAACTCAATCCCTTGTTTGTGATCACTGAATCAGAGTATGAAATATTGTCAAGATTAATTTTGTTCTGAGCAGAAATTCAAAGCAAATGACAACCTCGTTCCCAGGGCCATCACGGACTCCACAAAATGGCCGGTCGTCCAGCGATGACCCTGTCAAACACTGAACTAAGGCGCTTTGTGATTGGCTGATAAAGACGTCATTCTTATACCGCTTGCCATTGGATGTTTATTTTTAAGATATGTTCGGCTATCAATCGGGGTTTGTTCGACCAAATTCGACCGTTATTTTGAATGCGTCCAATTTTCCGAAGAGTTTGATGTCCGTTTTATTGATCAAAAGGCAATAATACTGCTTCAAATTCACGTCAGTTGTCTTTTCGTGTGTTCTTTATCTCGTGCATGCTTTTGAGAAGCCAGCCGAAGGTGTAAGTAATTAAACCCGGCCGATATATTTACTGTATTTTAGCGAAAGCGTTGACTTTGAAAGTCTTCTACTCGGCGCTTTAATCTACAGCCGCATTCTCTTTCCAAGAACCCCTGAGGACTTCTAGAATGAAATGAAATTACTCCTTTTACTTATATTGCCGATTGAATGGAAATTATGAAATAAACAATTTTGTTCAGTCAGATAAACAAAATGTCGACCCACCACAGCTAGCCCCATTAAAAACGTTGGGTTTACGTTGCGAACACATTTTTGAATAGATTGACACGTGATCAAATAGTCCATGTATCGTGGACTATTTGATCACGTGATAATCAGTGTTTGCCAGGGTCATCGCTGGACGACCGGCCATTTTGTGGAGTCCGTGATGGCCATGGGAACGAGGTTGAGCAAATGATCAATAATTATTGCCTACTCAATAATTGCACTTTTATTTTACATTATGATGCACATATTGGATTAGTGTATGGATAAATGCACTTATTGTTATTTCTTGTTTTCAATCATTCCCATGAGATTCAAAAGATAAAAGAATGGCGGCCATGTTGGATGTACAATAGATGCTAATGAGAAATCCTTCCCTGAAGTTCATCCAAGATGGCCGCTGTGATGTATACGGAAAACAAAGAATATGGTCATGACAATTGTAAAACTTATTTTCCTGTTGCTTATTCATCTATCATCTATTTATCAATGTTTTTCTCACATGCAGGCATCTTTAGTTGGTCATCATTCTGACATTCGCAATTCTGAAAGAGTAAGTTTGTTAAAATAACTTTTCTTTAGAAATAACAGTGGATGTTTTTGCATGCTCTTTGGCCATTCAGACAACATGAAATTGTCAACCTATCTACATGTATATTGTTAAAATGTGGGATATATCAACAATCATTGTGCTTTTATTGTTCAGGGTGCACAGGCTGTAGAATATCTTATTGACTGTTTCTATCATCAAGTTCTTGACAAGCTCTATTTAGTGGCCGGTAGACACAGGTGAGTAATTAATTAAAAAATGGCTCAACAGTTACCTAACCATATTTTCCACGTAGAGACTGGTTATATACATGTATTATCAAGGGGAGTTACAGTTGTGAATAGCCTCCTTCCCATGCAACTCTTTTTTGCTCCTTTGGGCTTCCTTTGTAACGGTCATTTTGGCTGCCAGGGACTAGCGACGAGAAAGGAAAAATAATGCTTTTCTGCCCCCATTCTCCATCTTGACTTCCAAAAAAGACAGGAAGCCCGTGATCCTTTGTGATGCCTGCAGAGGAGGCTAGGTTGTGAAATAGGCAGAGCAAAATAAACTGAGTGGGAGTCTTGTTCTTTCGTGCCAACACTCTTCTCTCAAAGTGAATTATGACTAAAATTACTTGTTGTTATTTAGTATTCAGAAATTCTGTAGTGATACACTGACATCAGCTGCAGGATGTTTGTACTAGTAGTCTGATTCAGCTCCATACAGTTATAAACCTTTTGAAGCACTGCAGAAAAGCTCCAAGAGCATGATAAGCATGTATACTGCCCTGATGTCCACGAAAGATGTACTCTTTGATTAGAATTTGAACAGAAATATTTCACAAGTTAAAAAAAAATCAAAATAGTTGAATGTTTTACAAAGACTTTGTAGTTTCGATAAAAATGTTTTTTTTTGCTTCAGTGATATATTGGAGCCAGGTAGCACCGCTCGGAACGGGTCTCATGATAGGTTGAGAAAACAATGGACAAACAATAGATAAGTCTTCCAACAATATAACAAAACCTAACCTAACAATAGTGGTGCTGTACTTAAGGAGCAATCAAAAAGCAGGTTTCAATTGGTACTGCATTACTGGTATATTGAGAAAAAGACCATACTATACATCAAAAAAGCACCCTTGACTTTTTAAAAGGAAACTTATCGGTTCAAAACTAGATTACAATTTTAAATAATTGGAAGGTATACATGCAAAGTCTTATCGGTTTTGTAAAAATTGTTGACGGACAGTATGGTCAACATCATATGTACATTCAGCAATGGCAAGCGCTCTTTCCATGCACCTATTTGCTTCCCAGTACTGTCCCAGATCTATAAACGCCACAGGTTATTTAACGCCAGAGGTTATTTAAGTGCTCAGCTAATGTTGCACTTTTTTGCTTCCTCATACTGTCTGATGTCTCGTAGTACAGAACTGAGGTTGTTTAAATGTATGGCTAATGTTGGATGGTTTTCGTCATAAACACGTTCATCAATAGCAACCGACCTTTCCATTAACTTCTTTGCTTCCTGATACTGTCCTAGATTTTGAAGCACTATACCGAGGTTGTTTAAATGTATGGCTAATGTTGGATGGCTTTCATTATATACACGTTCGTCAATAGCAACTGCTCTTTCAATGCACTTCTTGGCTTTCTCATACTGTCGTAGATTTCGAAGCACCATACCGAGGTTGTTTAAATATGAGGCTAATGTTGGATGGTCTTCATCATATACGCGTTCGGCAATAGCAACCGACCTTTCCATTAATTTCTTTGCTTCCTCATACTGTCGCAGATTTTGAAGCACCGTACCGAAGTTGTTTAAATGTGAGGCTAATGTTGGATGATCTTCTTCATATACAAGTTCGTCAATAGCAACCGACCTTTCCATTAATTTCTTTGCTTCCTCATACTGTCCTAGATTTTGAAGCA